AATTTTAAGTAAAATTTATATTTAAATTATTAAAAAAAATGATTTATTATATTTAATTAAATACTGTTTATCAAATTTGTTAATCATATATCAAAAAAATTGTCATTTTTATTATACATTATTATATATAAAAAAAATATAAATATAAATTTTTTTATAATTTAATTTAAAAAATTTATTTGTATTTTTTTTTAATTTTAAAGTTTTTTAGGTTAAAATTATTTTAAATTAAATTAAAATTAATATTTAAATAGAATAGATCAAATTAAGCTAATTAAATTATCTAACTTAAAGGAATTAAATAAAAATCTAATCTAACTTAAATTTCTATTTGAATTGACTTGATTTGACCTAATATAATATAATTGTTTTTTTTAAACAATTTATTATTATTCTAATTAAAAACTTATTATTATTTAAGAAGATTAATTTAATATTATTTAATAAGAATGATTAATTAACTTAAATTTTATCAAATTATATTAGATTAGAATCTAATTATTTATTATTATTCAAGAAAATAAATTAAATATTATTTAATTAGAATACATTATTATTCTTTTTAAATAATTTGTTAATTTAGTAATAAAAATTAATTATATTTTTAGATTTATTTTTTATTTTATTTAAAAATATTTAAATTTAATATTAAATTCTTATTATTAAAGTTATATTATTATAATTATTTATTTAATTCTATATTAAAAAAAAATTTAAAGATAAAAATATATTTATTTATATATAATATTATATAAGTTTTAAATATATATTTATGTAAATTTATATAAATTACATAAATAATATAGATATTTTACAGTAGAAAGGGAAGAAAATCAAAAATTTTTTTTGAATTAATATTAAATCTGAATTTATTTTACTAAAAAAATAATATTTAGCTTAAAAAGTAAAATATTTTTGATAGTTTTTTCCTTTTTACTGTAAAGTGTTCATATAAGTTTTACAAAGTTTTATATAAATTTATATTTTAAAAACTTTTTTAAATTATTAGAATAATTATATAATCATAATTTATAATTTTAGAAAATAAATAAATTTTATCAATTTTATTAAATTTTATAAATAGAATATATTTTTAAGAATTTTTGCTAACTTGTTCTTTAAATCATCTATATGATATATAATAAGTGATAAATAAAATTTTTAGTATTAAAAATTTTCACTATTTTTTGATTAATTATTAAAAATAAGAAACAAAGGAGTATGATACATTGTATGATAAATAAACTATAATCTTAAAATAATTTTAATTAACTTTAATTTTATGAATAGATAAAATTTTACATATGTAAATTAGTTATATTCTATTTTTAATTATATTATTATATTATTTTAAGATATCAAAGTTTATAAATACTCTTAATTAAATCATATTATTATATTATTTTAAATCTCAAAATTTATAAATATTTTTAATTAATTAAATATAAATTTAAATTATAAAATAATTTACCTGATTTAATTAATTATTTTAGATTAATTTATTATTTAAAATAGATATAAAAAACTAAATTAAATTTATTAAAATTTTAAATAATAAAAGAGAAATATTTTATAATAAATAATAATTTTGAATAATTTTATTATAAATATATCTTTTTAATAATAAAATTAATTTATATTTAAAATTTTTTTTTTAAATTTAAAGATTTTATTAAATAATTTAATAATTTTTAAATTTATAAGTTTTATAAATAATTTTTATTTTTACAAGTTTATTATAAGCAAATTTATCTGCAATTTTATTTAATAATATAATAATTTTAAATATTTTAAAATAATTTATTTAAAGATTAATATTTTTATAATAAATTTTATGATATTTTTTAAGTAAAAATTTAAAAAAAAGTGTGATAAATATATGATAAATTATTATAAAATAAAATTAAAATTTTAAAGTTATATATTTTGTTATTTATTAAATTCAGAAATATAAAAATATAATAATTTAATAGGTTTTAATGAGATGAATCCAATAAACTAAATTTTATTTTTTTATAATTTTAGATAATAAGATATATTAAAAAATTGAAAAAATTAATATATATTAAGAATTACTAATTTTAAAAATTTAAAAATATTATTATTAGATGTATTTTAATGATAAATTTAATAAATTTATTTCATTTTTTTATGATCACTAGATATTAAAATATTATAATTTTTCTAACTAATTTTATACTTATACTTTAAAGGATATAATTAATTTTTTAATAATAAGAAATAATTACTATTTTTGTAAAATAAATTTTATATAACCTTTTCATTTTTAAGAAATTTAATTATAAAATTTTTACATATTTATTATATTAACTCTTTTTTTAATAAATAATTAATTATTAATATTTTTTTTTTAATAAACTAGTAGCTTTATTTTTACTAATCTTTTTTTTTATACAAAAATATTAGTTACTTTTTCTTTAATAAGAAGAAAAAAAGTATATTAAAATAAGTTAAAATATAATTCATTATTATTATATCAAATATTTTAATTATAATACCTTTAGGTTAAGTAATTATATATTAAAATTTATTTAATATAATCTGATTTTAATATATTTAAAATTCAATTTGTTTTATAAATTTTGATAATCAAAGTTAATTAATAAGTACATATTTTATGCATATTTTAATATATTATAAAGATGTTTTCACTTCACCAAATAAGTTATACAATTGCTATGTTAGTTATTATTTGTAATAAGAATCAAATAAAAAAGAAGAAATAGGAAGATTTGATATTATACTAAAATCAGGCTACTTAAAGCATTATAATAAAAATATTGTTAGACTTGTGAACTACAGTTGAGATCTGTGGAACAATAATTAGTAATCAAATTGGTGTTGACTTTGTTTGAAGCTAATCGATACAAAGAAACTTACTTAAATCTAGTGGAGGATATACGAGATGGTGATATTTGTATTAAAAACATTGTGTAGTTGATTTTATTTTTATATGCGCCAAAATTATTATACATGAAATTTTGTTACTAAAGAATTTTTTTTAAAATTTGAATAGATTCAATACTCATTCTGCCTCCGCAATTCTACATTAGCAGTATTCGCTTCTATTATATAGGAAAACGGGCTTTATTTTAAAGAATTTTTAATATAATACAATCTAAAAATTTTTAATTGCGGTGCAATGACTAATAAAAAAGATCAAAGGGTCTATTATATTAAACTGCTAAATTTGAAATAGAGGATAGAATTGTATAACGATACCTAAATTCATCACGTAAATGTTATTATAATTTCTACAGTATCGGCGGATCTAGTAAAGCCCAAAAGTACTTGACATATTTCTAATTTAATAATATCACTTTTTGCAAACTTGCCACAAACATATATAAATTGGTTCGCCCTGCTGCAAGGTGCTCATCGATGTGATTTTTAAGTTTCTCCTGGGTTTCAAAGTTTTTAATGGGCATTTAACCATTTGCAGACGAATGGCATTAGAATTTTTTCAGCATGGTAAAACGGTAAGATTTGATCAGACAAAACTGAATTAATTCGATGCTTATTTTTTATCCACTTTTATCGCCGAAAGAAATTTATTATTTATGTGAATGAAATACAAAAAAAAAAAAAATGCCCTAAAAATCAAAATTATGTTGCTAATTTTGTAATATAATGCTTCCCATCTCGTAATTAAATCAAATACGAACGAAGAAATGAGTGAAAATTATATCATAAAACAACTCCCTTTTTTTCACAAACCCTGAAGACGAAAAAAGTTAGTATATTTACCCCACAACATTTCAGGAAATGCATTATACCGCTTTGCTGAAAACTTCTTTTGTGGCGCAGATCGATAAAAATGCGTAAAAATTAGTCATTATGGAAGCGGGATTTCAGGTCATTTTTATAGTAAAGATCGACACGCATCAAACAAATCTTTCGGGTATGTAAATCAGGGGAACATTTTATTAATAATTCAATATTGCGTTTTCGAGCAAAAATATTGCGAAGCACTGAATCTGATACTGACCCTATTTTTGACATATTGACACATTTTTAAAAAAAGTCGAATTTTTAAAAAATTGAATAGTTTTTTTTTTATTTTATAAGATATAAAATCAAAATTTCAATTTAATTAAAATTAAAAAGTATCATTTAATAACATTTTTTATACTATAAGTTATAAAGTATATAATATGACTTTTTATAAACTATTATTGCTGATTCTAAATTCTTAATAATTTTTTTGTGATATTATTTAGTAATTTTATAAATTTAATATAATTTAGCTAATTCAAACATTTTATTATATTAATCTAATATACGTTACACATTAACAAAAATATATTACAAATCTTTCTAAAATTGCATATATTTATAATTTGATTTGATCAAGCGTGAGAAATTTGTAATGATAAATTTGGGTAAAATTTGCGTATTGAAAAAAGGAATTGTTCGATAATCATAAAGATTTCATCATATCATTCTAAATCACCCCTCAAATAAAGGTATCACAAATGAAAATTGTCGGACGATATGCACATAAAGTGGGAAGATATTTTCAAGATTCTTTTTTTAAAAGCCAGATTTGTTGCTAGATGATTTTTTCACCCACAATTCCCCCGACTAAAAAAAGAACGTGCTCCGGATATGCCTAAAAGAGTTTACCCAAACTTTAGGTCATAATTACTAAATCTTCTGATAGTTGATCTAAACAAAGAGGGCAAAAGAAGATAAGATATGCCGAAAGTAGATTGATTCAATGATATATTAACGCAGTAAGTGGCTAAAACCTGTATTACCGTTTTCCCGCAAAATGCAAATTTATCAAAATTTTCTTGCATAATCTTATCTCTGTCGTACAAATGAAACTGATTTTCTTTTGTGCTAAACTAAATGCATCTTCACTTTTCTCCCGTGCTAACGTGATAATTTATTTAAATATAAATACGCCTAAATTTACGCTACCTTCTCTTACCTTCTCTCTATATTTTTAACAAAAAAACGAAAATTATTTGAACATGTTGTCCGAACATACATTATCAAACCCAACAACTCCTCGCAGTTCAATTTACAGTAATCGTAGGGTGTCTTTTCCAAATTCAAGGGTATGTATACATCCTTACTTCGCTTCAAGAGAAGAAGCTGGTAAAACTTTAGCCCGACTTTTAAAATTTTATACTCATAATGCTAACACTGGTATGTGATGTAAAAATTTTTTTTCCATTTCAATTAAATTATTAAAAGAAAAAAAAATTAACAAATTTTATACTTCAGTTGTCCTCTCAATCAAACCAACTGCCACAGCATTGGCTTACGAGATTGCAAAAGAATTGGAGTTACCTTTGGATTTATTCCTCATCCGTTCCTTCAAATGCGAAGGTTTGACCGTTGGTGCCATCACCGATAGAACTGATCAACCATTGCTAAAAGAGCAAGTCATCAGGTAAAAATTAATGTGCGATGTATTTTTTATAACCAGTCAGTATCTTAAATGCTTAAATTCCCTTTCTATGTTAATAGAGGTTGCGATATTCCAAAAGATATAATTGACGAATTAATAGTTAAAGAGGTGAATATCGACGTCAATTTGCTGTGCCACACACATGTTGATCCTATATTCAAATAAAAATTTTTCTTCTCTCCCAAAAAAATTAAAATTAGCGCACAGTACTTGAATCTCTAAAAAAAGAATGCTGTCCGCCGAATTTGACGTTGCCTTGTTCTGAAGATTCCACATTGATTTTATGTACCGATGGTATTCAATCTGGACAGGACGCTCGTAATACTATTTTCATACTGAAAAAATTTCTGGGTTTTCGTGGTAAAATTGTTTTAGCCGGTGGTGTTATGGGATCAGACGCTCAGGTATATATTGAATTGCCGTCGTTACTTTCGTCGAAGATTCAAATGATTAATTTTTTTTTTTTTTAATAAATAGAAAATGTTTATGAGAGAAGCCTACGAGGTTTTTTCTGTAAAATGTCCACAAATTGTTGGTTCAGTTGGTATATAATCTAAATATTTTTACTTTTATTTTAAAATTAATTTTGCATTGCATTTGTAACCTTTTTTTTCCTTTTAGATTCATGGTATGAAAACAACGACGAATTAACTAACGCGGAAATAAAGCAAATCTTATCACAAGCAAATAATTTTTAAATTAATAATAATGAAATCGTGGCCAATCAAATATGCTCTATTATTTTAGTTTTTTATTTTGTATATATATTTTTGGGAAGTCTAATTATACATCTTTTGTCTCAAACTTTTTTTTTTTTTGTTTTATAATTTTTTTTTCTGTTTCTTTCAATTTTTTAAAAAAGAATTAGTTTTATACATCTGCATGTACAGTATATATAAAAAGCCGTAAACCCAAATCCAAACTTTTTTATCTATAAGAGATTGTGAAAAAATAAAAAATACTTTCTCACTTAGTGCGTTCAAGCTGAATTTTCGAAATGGATTGTTTACGAAAGGTTCAATATTGAATCTTTTGACAGGGGGTCCCGGAGGTACAGTGGGGTATCAAAAGTCACCGGGCATTTGCGATGTCGATCATTTTTTGAAAAATTATATCGAATTTTTAAATTGAGATAACTTACG